AATGTTTCCCTATTGAATGACTCTCCATATGCATGTTCTACAGTGGGCACAGTCCTTAAGCTGGAGACTTTTGGTCAGCAGTACGTGTATGGCACATATGAACCCTGTCCCTGCTTATGCCTCACTCTGGGCATGTCCAGATGAGCACACACATGAGATCTGCAGTGCTGCAAACCACACACACTGCACATGTAGGTGTTTGCCATGCTGCTAATTGGCAGTATGGTGGGTTTTTTTGACACCAGGAGATCCCAGTGTCAAAAAAACTACGCCTGAAAAAAGCAGGGTGGCACACGTGGCAGCAGCGTGTGCTGCCCAAAACCAGAGCCTGGCCAGCCAGAGCCACGCACTGGCTGCCAGCCAGGCCTCATGCACTGGGTTGCCACTGCTGGAGCCCCAGAAGGCCCCCAGAACCCTAGGTAAGGCTGCTGCGGCTAGCCCAGGTGCTGGTCCCAGCATCCCCTACCCCAACCAAGGCAACTTGCTGCGTGCCAGAGCATGCGTGCATGGGTGTTCCCCGGGACAAGTCGCAGCAGCATAACTGTGTTTCACTGGTATTTGTCCCCAGGGAAATGCACATGCATACTCATCTGGATGCACCCTAGGGTATATTATATGTTGGGTGTCTTTCAGATCTCAATTCCTCTAAACTTTTTTCAGTTTGAGATGGAACTTCTTCCTGACAGCTTACAGACAACATCAGCAGATGCCGAACCCCTTAAACTTCAGTTAGCACTCCTGGAAGTTAGGTTTGATTTCTTGTGGCCCATGGGTGAACTGTTAGGGGATTTGGGTTTTTGTTTGTTTGTTTGTTTGTTTAAAAAAAAACAAAAAAAAGGAAATATTCTCTGAAACCAGTCTGATGTTCTCAAGATCACCTGGATTCAAGTATTATCTCTTGCCTGGGAGAGTCTCACATCCCAGGAAAATGTTCTCTTTTCAAATTTTTCACCTCCTGAACCACAGGGATAGAGACAAAATGCAGACACACCTCTTGTATACCATCAGGGGCCCTGGCCTTCACTGCTGATTAGCTGCAAGGCCTGCCTGCCATGTTGCCCTGCCCTTTCCACCAATTGGTGGTGAGGTGCAAGGCCACATGACAGACAGCCTTCACAGCAAATCAGCAATGGGGGGGCAGGGCCATATGATAGATATCCCTTGCTGCCAATCAGTGGTGAGGGGTGGGGCCACTAGAGCCCCTCAACCAGTCAAAGCTGGCCCCATGATCTATCCATGAAATTGGCTGGCTGCTGCCTCGACTTGGGTAGTTACCTAGACATCAGTGCCTGTCATCTTTAACTGTTTTCTGAAGTTGAATCAGAGCAAATTGTCCCTGTGCTCAGTCGAGTAGCACCTGGCAGCTGTCTTGTATCATCATCCATGAATGGGTGGCTAGATAGTGTTTTCCTACTCCCCTGTGCTAAAATTCTTGATAGGTCTGACCAAGGTATTTCCACCAAGGCAAGATCTGATATCAGTCTAATTCTTGAAGCTCTCTCAAGACTACTGTTCAAGCCAATGGCACTATGTTCTCAGCTGTGTTTGTCATTAGAGATGATCTTCCTGTTTTCCAGATCCTCCCTATATGGTTTTCCATGTGGGTTGGGTATTCTGAAGGACACATGAAGGTGGTCATAGAGTTCCACCTAAATAAACAAATCTACCACCTGATTGTTTTCCCCAAATCTCACATGTC